CTTTTATACAGGTATTGTATGTGAGAAATGGGCTAAAGGTTAGGGAAAAACTGTTGGAAAAGGACTGGTATGATTGGGTGACACACAAAGCATACAGTTTGAAATCAATGGAAAATTACAGTTTTAAACCAATAGAAAGTTTAGGATATATGAGTCATGCGATCCATATCAATATATTGGAGATAAATTCTCATCACATTGAAATCAAAATAATTAAAGGAAAAGTAATTTATATACCAATATATATTTGAACAATTAAAATTAATTATCATGTAGAATATGCAAACTTTTTGACATTTGAAACAACATATCAACCAGACTAGCAAATTATAATGGGAATCGGTAAAAATATTACTGCTGCATAGAAATAGCTCTTTTTAATATATACCCTGCCGAAAAATACCTGTCCACTCGGCTTTCAAAATATCTCCCTGACAAAATAAGTTAGATCAAATTTTTTAAATGTAAAATTAAATTTTATAAATCTAATTTTGTGCTTAAAACAAGTATTGTATCGCAAATCCGACGCTCAAATTTTAATCACTAATCTCAATGTGTCCAACATTGTAGAGGTACAGTGTGTGCCATCACATTTTTTTCAAGACCCCTTATATAATATTGCTTTAAATAGTGTATAAGATTCATGACGCTTTATGCATTGATCTATATTCTAGCTCTTCAACTCCGATATCTTTCTCACCTTGGGTAGAGTGCTACAAAGTTTTAATATACATTGGTAATGACATTACACATGGCTAAAACATTAAGATAGATAAATAAACCTTGTAGCACTCTACCCAAGGTGAGAAAGATATTGGAGTTGAAGAGCCTGAATCTATATTAATTAATTATATTTTATTTCAATAAAATTTAAGATAAGTTCAAAACAAGATGTACATAATTATGTGCATCGGTGGGCAGGGCGAGCATAATGGTGCATTTGCTCGCATTTTAGAGCAACATACTTTCTAATAAGTTTATTATTTTCTTACTGTATTCAAATATGTCGTTATCAATTATAGAGAGTGGTGGCTTGCATTATGTGTAATGCATTGTAAACAAATGTAATGGCATTTGTGATGCGTGTTTGAAAACACAACAAAAATAATGTTTAGTCAAAATCTAAAATAAAAGCTTTTTAATGAAAGATGCCCAGTATTGATTATGTGTATTTTACACTAAAAATGTTTGTGTAAAATGATTGTAAATTAATTTATTTTTGAGGATTTTGTATTAATTTTATAAGTCTTTAAATAAAACATAAAAAACATATAAAAAAAGACAAACGGTTGGATTATAACTAACCATTTGGGAGCCACCGGATAATTAGATAAATCACCAAACATTACACAATATATAGCGTACACTATAAGTATAGCGAACTGTATTAACTGCAATCGTGTGATATATCTCTTCCACCATAAATAGGGCTGTATTTGGGGTCCAAATGCCGACAACAGGTAATAGCTATNAAATAGGGCTGTATTTGGGGTCCAAATGCCGACAACAGGTAATAGCTATACATAACTGTGTGTACAATAGAGTTAAGCAAACAAAACACTTCGAGGGTTACGGTTTGTAGACACAGTTTGGCCGCCATATATCCCAACACAGGAACTGTTGTTATGAATCAAAATGATTAAGAAATTTAAATTAGTTTAAACATGTTTCCCGGCCATCACTTTCCGTCGGCTCTATTCAAATAAATATAAGAGAAAAAGTAATTACCCATAAAGTGATGGTAAACGTGAAGAAATGTGATTTGATTTGACTTTTTTCTCAACACAAAGAATACGGTATCAAATAAATCAAATAATTTGGTATAAATATAAAACATCTTTACATCCAATTCGCCAATTGCTTTGTCCGACCATTGATTACGTTCGGGTAGTTTCGGGTCCAAAGACTTGCGGCCAAAGTCTAGCCATTTTAAGGACGTGTATACAAAGTAAGCGTTGATTACAACTAATATAAAGTTATAAATCATTATAATTTCGCGCAAAACATATGGATTTCTGTTTTTCATAAGTTTTGGCCCCAATTTAGTGACAAATAAAAGCCATAAAAACATAATCGTTAGGAACTGTTCCGGTCCTCCAGAGAATAGGAAATACGGTTTAATTCTATCGTCGGTCTCATCGATCCAATACTGACGGA